CCCAAGTTACCAGCATCATGGCATCGAGGTCCCCACCTAGTCTAGAGGGAGAAACTCCGGGAAAACATAATGTAAAGTATTTCTGTTCGTAGCAGGACATTATCCTCTGACCTGCGTTCAGGGAAATTGAGCCAAGTGCTTGCTTGTGTGGTGCCCGCGAGAGGAACCCCAAGGATGGAGGCAGAGAGGGTTTGTCACTCCCCCATCGCCCTTGTGGGATGCTCTGGGGCAGGCGTCCCTGCTTGCCTGGGTGGGGAGGGTGACAGTGGCACCTGGGGACTCGCATCGCAGAATTGGAAAGGACTGGACGGGAAACGGGGTTTTTGTCCCGTGGGCAAGAGTATTTTGGAGGGGGAAGTTACAACTGTGAGGAATTTTGCTGAACTGAAGAGGGCTGATCCATAATTTTGATTGAAGTGAAATGATTTGATTTGTCAAAACCCTGTTCTTCATTTTGAGTTGGTGTTTTGAAATGAAAAGTGTTGTTTTGTCTCCAAATATTGACATGAAATGAAATTTTTCACTCATTCTCCTAATCAGGAAGACGAGGTGGGGGGAGAGGAATTAAAATTGACGTTTTACCACAGCAAGACTTCTGTTCAGAGGAAACCATCTTTCCTAATAGGAAAACATTGTGTTGTAAAAATGTTCATTTCTGATAAGATATGTGGTCAGGTCTCACCAGAACTGGGCTGACGATGGCAGCGTGGGGATGGAAGCATCACAGCCCAATCCCGACTGGGTCCTAAGTGGCCAAGTATGGCCAGAAATACACCTTCAAACGTCTCAAGAGGAAAGGGAATGTTTCAGGCTGTGTCTGGAGTCAGGCAGAGCCAGGTTTCTGCTATTTGCTTCCCTCTCTGAAGTCCAGCCCCCCAGAACCAGGCGGGTTTGCTGCTGGCAGAGCTCAGGGTTGTGGATTTATTTGCTTTCTGTGCAATACCCGAAGCGCGTGTTGCAGTGACTTGGGTGGGAATTGAGCTGCTTGTTAGCTGAAATTGAAAATTGTAATTTTTGTGCGTGTTTGGGAGAGACAGAGTGTTTGTTTATGGGCGGGAAGTGCTTGCATGTGCCTGCACACGCGTGGGAGAGAGTCTTTGTATAGAAGTGTATGTGTGTGTGTGTATATATAGACTTATATATACATTGATGCCCTGAGGCTGTGTTAACGTGGTGCTGACATATTGCAAACTAGATAATACTTCTGGAGGGGACTGAGGGTGTTTACCAAATAGGAAGCTTGGTAGAATGGAGAGAGAAAATCCAACTGCTTTTTGACCCTTTTTCATCCTTTCCTCTTGGGGGATGAGGGTGAATCTAGCGCCTTGTGCAGCTCAGCCACCACCTTCTCATTGCCCTCCCCCTCCTGCCTATCTCCCAGCTTTGATCTATCCTTGCAGGTCCAGGCAAACGTGGAGAAGTCCTTGACCCTCTTTGGGCAGCTCCTGAACAAGAAGCACTTCTTGCTGACCTTCATCCGCACTCTGGAGGCTCAGCGGAGCTTTTCCATGCGGGACCGTGGCAACGTGGCCTCCCTCATCATGACAGCACTGCAGGGTGAGATGGAGTACGCCACGGGCGTGCTGAAGCAGCTCCTCTCTGACCTCATCGAGAAGAACCTGGAGAGTAAGAACCACCCCAAGCTGCTCTTGCGGAGGTAAGCGACCATCCAAGAGGGTGGAACTGTGGGACAGTACCCAGGCTCTTCTGAGCATGTGGACACGAGCTGGTGTCCTTTAGGGATGCCAGCAGGGATGGCTTTGGTGTTGGTTGTGGCAATGTTGGCGCTGGGTCTGTGGTCAAGCATTTCCTTGCCTGTCTGCGGACAAGTATAAGAGGGACATGGGACTGCCTGGACCCAGCTAACTCAGGAGTCGCCCATGGGATGTTCTCGCTCTGGTTTGGCCCGTGGGGGTTCATGCTGTCTGAAGGAGGGAGCAAGATACTCGGCAGCTGCCGGCTGTGTAGTCTTATGCAGGGAGGATGCCCGCTGGCATCAGGCACTGTTGTGTATCCCTGTAGCAATGCTCCCACCTGCCTTCCCTTCTCCAGGTGACCAGGCAGTCCCCCGAACCTCTCAGGACATGGGGCAGCTCTTGCCTTGCCTGGCAGCTGCCTTGCTGCATGGATGCCTCTGCGGGCTGGCAGCAGGCAGAAGTCCTCCTTTCCCTGCTGCCTCCTTGGAGCTTGCCCACCTTGCCAGGCATGTGGGGGTTTTCCTGGGAAAGCCAAGCGGATCTTCGCAAGCTGGGAGGCTCGCCGGGGCCGGGAGGGAGTGCGAGCAGAGGCAGCGTGCCAAGCCCTGCCGTGAGTTTGCCTGACGCATCAATATTTAACGATAGCTCTGAGCTCTCCTTCATCACGGGCTGATGAATATTGAAAGATACACCAAGTGCTGAACAAAACCAATTAATAAGCTCCTCCAGCCCAGCTCGAGGCCCTCCATGTGCCATCTTCTCCCTTCACATGCCATACCATGCCGTGCCTCCCTATCTCCACCTCCACCAACCTGGTGCCACCAGCCTCCAGTGGAGATGCAGGGACAGCTGAGAGCCACGGGGCTGGCATGTCACCAGAAAGGCTCAAGAAAACCAGAGCGTCTTTCAAATATCAACCGATGTTCATGGCATGGCCAGACTGGACAAAGCCTGTCGGGTTTTGTGTACTTGGACCTGGGGAGACATGGGTATGAGCTGGTCCCAGTTACATCCCTGCTACCTTTCCTTGTCTGATCTCTTTAGGCACGTTGCTTTCTTACTGTCTGTGCTTCCTTTGTATCATTACAAGGATGCCCTTAATTTCTCAAAGCACCTCATTAGCAATGTGCCAGAGAGGGGGGTCGGTGCAGACCTGTGGCTGGCCAGGAGAGGGATGGGTCTTGGAGGTGCCAACCACTGTACCCCATCCCTGTTCCCCAAGTGCATCCTTAGACTCTTCCCTTATTATTGTCCCTCCATGACACCAGGCTTTACTGCAATATTTAAACTTCATTTCCAGCTCCTGAAGTAAATCAATAAAGTATAAATAGAAGGCAGTGCGGGGAAGCCAGCAGCTGCGGTGGCTGAGCTGTGGGAGCGGCACAGGGGCAGAGCCCAGCCTGTACTGGCATGGCAAGAGCCAGCAGCCCGAGGACTGTCGGTCCCTGGCTATGGAGCTTGAGGGCTCATTGCAGGTGGAGCTGCAGGAGGCTTAGAACAGGGATGAGGTCCCCTGGCTGGTACCTTGCTTGTGCCTCTCTGAGTGATATTTAGCAAAAAGACTTTCTTCTTCCTGCAGCCACAGCGCGGAGCGAGCAGGGCTGAGGGCTGTGCTTCTCTGTCCTTTTGATTAGCCCTGCTGTTGGGCGTGAGAGTGTGCTTACTGCTCAGGGCAACTGGATTAACATTGATCTAACTGGGGAGAGCTGTTATTTATTTATTTTGTTATTGGATAATCCCCCCGTTGCTGTGGCATCTGACTCTATCACGGATAAAGACAAACATCTGCCAGAGCCCAGGTGGTGGCACTTCAGATGAGTGTTAGAGGCTTGTCAGCAAAGGACCTGGTCTGGGGCTGAGGACGATGTCTGCTGAATAGCTTCAGTCCACCCTTCCCTTGGCTTTCTCCCCACATTCGTTTCCTTCTGCCTTTTTATTTCCCCTCGATGGATTAATCTTTCCCGGGGGGCACAGGAAGGCTTCCCTCCCCTGGAGTCTCAGATGTTACTATCCCTTAATGGTTTAAGGAGGGCTGTGCTATTCCAGGGAAGGCAAAAAGGGCTAAGCCCCATTAGTATGAGAGAAAACCTTGAAAGCGTCCCTACGACCCTGAGTCAGCTTGAATAAACTCTGGGAAAGTGGATTTCCTACCCTAGCCATCTGGCCGTGCGGAACTGCTCCTGGCCCATCTGCCAGGCATGGCATTGCTGTTGGGCAGTGCATGGCAAGGGGCAGTGGGACTCCTTCTGGTGACTCTCAGGTTCGAGTTCCTTCTGGGTTTTGTTTCTTGAGTCAACCTGTTTGTATCCATTCCCCTGGTACAACAGGAATGCAGCCACGTCCCTGAGGTTATTAGTATTGCTTGTGCTTTCAGGAGCATCTGCGTTTGCAAGTGGCTGATCTGATGATTAATGGGTGGATAAGCTGAAGAAGCCTAACTGGGGAGGGTTGAGGGGGCTGGCTGGCATTTTTACTTTAAAGGGAGTGAAAGCCACTTTAAAAAATAATGGATGTGTTAAGGGGAATTTTAATCTTAACGGCAGTGAGACCAGGCTGTGGTGCAGAGGCAGGCGCGTTAAGCTGCCCTTGTGGAGCTGCATGGTTCACCCGGGTCCTGTCTCACCCTCAGCTCTCTCCATGCCAGGCTGTCCCTCTCCTCTGCTGGTGCGGCACATCCTGGCTGCAGTACCAGCACCCCAAGGTCCCCACATCCTATTCAGACCCACCGTGTCTTACACCCATCCTGCAGGATCCTGCTCTCCCTCTTGTGCACGTTCTGCACAGTGGTGTTCCCAAACAGACACAGGTGACTCCCCTGGACCATGCTGTTTTGGAGCATGATGGCGTCTGGATTTGAACCATGCTTTAGGAAACTAGAGGCAATATATAGGTTTTCTCAAGGCAATTTTAGCTGCTTCCTTCAACTGCACTTCCAAAAGCTGAGAGGCACAGCTCCATTTTTAAACTCCTTTTGGAGTAGGTGGTTGCAGCACTGTACACTGCAAACTCCTACATCACCACCCCGCTCTGAGGAGACACACAGAGACCCGGGATTTCCACCATGTGGGCAGGGAGGGGTTGGATTCCAAGCCTGGCACAGTGTCTTTGCGTGGTGCTCCAAAGGTACATGGAAAACAGGTTAAGCTTCCAGCCACTTTTCTTACTCCTTCCTCCTTTAATCCCCTTGTTTTCAGCTGAATTAGTGCTGGGAATAAGTTTGACCAGAACTGTACTGGGATCAAAGTCTCCAAACCTAAATCCAGCAGTGGCTTTAACCAAGGCTGTGTATCAGTGGACCAGTGCGCTCTCTACGTTGCAGGGCTCTGTGCCCCTGCCCAAGAGCCACCCAAATGCAAGCCCAAGGGCAGGGGCACGGAGAGAATTGCAGGTGCAGAGCGTGACCTCCTAAAACTTCACTGTCGCCACTGCTGAGTGCCAAGAACCAGGTGTCCTCTCCTCCAGCAGTTCTTCTGAGCAGACCTTGCACATACTGCTGGGGGAAACTCTCTTTATCCCTCCAGTGTTGGTGGTGATTGTCCTCTTTCTCTACTGCGGGGCTTTGAGGCAGTAGAGATCAAGGGCTGCTTTGGGGGTTGCAGGGAGGTCCCATGTCACCCAGTAGTGGTGGGCCTGTGTCAGGGCAATAGCGGTTTTGAGTGCATTGCAGGAGTCAGCAGCAGCTCCCAGGTGGGGAGAGGGGCTTCCAGCTAGATCAGGCACACAGTCATGTGGGAGGAGATTCTCCTGTTGTGGGAATGTGGGTCAGGATCTGACTTTGCCTTGCAGCCTCAGCTCTTCCCTTCAAGTTGTGCTTTAACTGGGGAGCTTGAGGTAGGTTTGGTGACATTTTGTCTGGCTTAGGTGTCTCATACAATCCTCCTGTGGAGGTTGCTGCCTGGTTCCAATGGGAACAGAAGAAACAAAATGCATTGAAGTAGAAGGTACCAAGGAGAAGCAGAAAGCTGGTCATCTCCTGGGCAAGATTCCCCATGGGAAAAGGCCATGCTCGTCTCTCTCTGGTTCTCCAAATACACTGGAGACCAATTTATTTCTCCCTCCTGGGGCGCTGCTGTGGCTCAGCCTTGCGGACGGGCAGGCTTTCCACTAGAGCTTTTGCTGTCTGTGTGTGCCCCTTTGCTTCGAGGCTCCTGCCTTTCCAGATGTGACCTTTTAAAGCCAAAAATAATTTAGCCACAGTCCAAGGCTGAGGTGGCAACGCGTGAGATCAGAGACCTTTGATATCCTCTGCTGACACCTTTGCTCTCTGCCTTCCCTACAGAACGGAGTCGGTGGCAGAGAAGATGCTGACAAATTGGTTCACATTTCTGCTCTACAAGTTTCTGAAGGTGAGTTTGGGAAGGGATGGAAATGCCGCATGGGCAGGGAGGTGGTTCCTGCCTTGCTGGGCCGGGCAGCGTGGTACCCACAGTCTGGGCTGATGTGCTCCTGAGCGCTGCTGCTCCCTCCTGGAGCAGAGATCACTTCCTAGGCCTCCGTTCCCATCCTGTATTTCTGAGATGTGATTCGTGATTCTGGGTCTTCTTTTGGGGAAATAGCTGAGACTGAGAAATGAAATACAGGCCGAGATTTCTTAATATGTAGCGGATTTGAGATCTTCTTAAAAGTGGTGCCTGGAGAAAGGATAAATCTGAAGCAACTCAACTGAGTCTTGAATCCCTTCAGAGTGGTCCTCAATCCTCTCTCCTTACCTCTACTTGTGTAACTCGGAGGAAGAAGCCCCAGGAGCTGGTCCTTTTGTAGACATGACTGTGATCGGAGGATATTTCTGCCTGTTTGAGCTGTAGTTTGATGTGCTGCACTCTTTGTGTAACGCCACTGCTTTTCCTTCATCTCTTTGACACTGAACCTCCATGACAGGGGAATCGTTGTCCCCCAGGTATCCTCAGTTCTGCTACAGCTTCCCCTCCAAAAGGTGCCTTGGTGGGGATGGATGGCCTGGGGGGTCTGTTGGCAGCGGGGGACACAGCAATCTCCACTGCACCTGCACAAGGGTGCAGAGCCCATTAGCTTGAATTTGCCTTTTTCCCAGTTTTGTTGGGGTAGCAGAAGAAGATGCCAAAGTGTAAGGACTGTTTTTACCACTGGTTCATCCACCCCATATCAAGAACATTTATTCCGTCAGCACCGGTGCTTCCACCTGCTAGAACTGCACCAGCGGCCATGTGGGTTACACAGCTGCAGCTCCAACCTGTGGACCTCATGGCTCGGTCCTGATGCTGCTTTGGGATGACACCGGTGGGGTGAATGGCACCTGAGGTCCTGCCACTGGTTTGTCAGTCAGCAGAGCTGTTTCTTGGGATCCTGCCTGGCGTCAGCACGGTGAGGCTGGGTGGCACACAGCTGTTTTTGTGGGATTTCATCCCTCATTAAGATAAAGAGAATTTGAACCATTTCCAGCCAAGAGATGAGAGTGAGCAGGAGTCTGTGCAGAACTCAAGTGATCGTCAACGAGAGGTGATTTATAATATCACTTACGTGCACTTGGCTTTTTGCCTCCGTCGAGGGATAGCCTGTATCTATAAAAATCTAGCTGTAGTGTGCAGCAGAGATTGCTTTCCAGGGGTGGGAGAGGAGAAAACCTGTGCCGGTCATGGGGAGATGTCAAACCTTCCACTACCTCTTCATGCTGGGGCTTTGCTCAGTGGGACCACCCTTCATCCCTGTGGCGGCAATGCCCGGGGGGATCAGGCAGGACACTGGCAGATGCCTCTTTGCGCTCTGCAGGGTCAGTGGGACAGGCAGGAGTAGCTCTTGCTATGGATAAACTCCCTCAGGGCTCCTTGAAGCAGACAAGGTTGTGCTTTGGCTGAGCAAAGTGCAGTGCACAGCCTGCGAACGCCCACCGCAGCGTTTGGGGATGTTGCATTTGTGTGTGTGTGAATTGACGCTCTTGGCCTGTCCCTTGCTGGGCTGGGCCATGTGGGCAGGTGACAGCGGCATGTTCACCTTGTTCAGAAGCTGCTTTGCATTAGCTCCTGTGCCACCACTGTCCTGCATCTGTCCTTGTATAGCCCCTTTGGAGAGGCTTCGGCGTGCATCGCTAGTGTGGGTCAGGTCTGAGGATAAGAAGTAGCAGGAGAGGGAGACATGTGGATGGGACCAGGGCAATGCCTTTTTCTAAAGTCCTTGGCTATGCCATGGCTTTGACGGGGGAAAATACCTCCAGTCTCTAGGCAATAGCAGCAGGAGAGAGAAGTCTGATCTAGATGCACCATTACAGGAAGAACATATGCGGTGGGCCTGGATAAACCTGCTGGCTGTGAGATTTGTTACGCTGGGGATCATCTACCCAGGGAAATGGTTGAAACTCCATCACTTGGGTCACTTGAGTTCAATGGGAAGAGACTTGAGGGTGTGCTCATAGCCTCTCCTGGGTTGGTCCTACCAGAGGAGACCCACGGGACTGTTTCTGCCTGTCTCCCGGCAGTGAGGATCACAAGGTGCATCAAAAGCAGGAGAAACCTGTGGAGTAGATGGGGAAGTATCACAGCAGACACTTCGCCAGCAGGGAAACTGCACCAAACCGCGGTAATTGTGCATGTAAATGAGGCAGGCGGACGTGTGCCCAGCTGCCAGATCAGCTCTCAGCAAACCTGCCCGGAGCAGAGCTGGGTGCTCAGCATCGTGCAGCCGCAAAGTCTTAGGGCGAGGGTTGGGGACAGGGCCAGTCCAGCCCCCCCTGCCCAGGGCCAGCAGCGTGGGTAGCCAGCGAGGGCTGACACTTTCAACGGGGACCCTGTAGTAGCATTTATCAGACTCTTAATGAGACACCCCGGGGAAAGGGAGAGGGATAAATCGAGACAAGTGCTGAAAAATGCACAATATTAGGTGCCTGATGAGCTAGATCTAGTCAATAAGACAGTTTGAGCATTAGCTGGCTTGCCTCAGCCTGCTCCCAATGTACTGACACGTGCGTGCACGGGGTGTTTGCAGCCGCCCTCCTGCCGCTCGGCTGGCACAGAGAGCCTCCCAGAGCCCCCCTCAGTCAGACCCCCAGCAGTAAGCAAACTGCATCAGGACTGGCAGGGGGCTGGCAGCGTGGGCACGGCCGCATTTTGGGGGCAGGCTGTCCTCCATCAACCGGCGGGGCCACCCGGCCCCATCTCAGTGATCCCCTCTTGTATCTCACCCGATGGAGATCATCTCAGGGCAGCTGCCTGGTACCAGTTTCTGCAGTCCCTGTTCGTTTTGTTGGTCTCTGTCAGGGACAAGCCCTAAACCATCCTCATCTCTAGTGGCTCAGTGAGCTGTCACCCATGGCAGCATCTCAGCCCCGGTCCTCAAGACCGGTGAGGACAGTGAGGTTAGGAGTGAAGTTTTGGATTTTAAGAGTAGGACTCACATTTGGAACAGGTGAGAAAGCCAAGCTGCAACGTGGAGGATGCACAGAGTCAGGGGGACAGTGCAGAGGGGATATTTCAGTTGAAATTAGGATGCTCGACAGGTCAGAAGGAGACCAGCATCCTGAGGCACGCAGGAGCCCCCAAAAGCCTGCATGGTGCTGGAGGAGTGACGTACCCATCACCAGGGCCACTGATGCCTCCATCCTTCTGGGGAAACCACAGGGCTTGTTCTAATCCATGCATCCAAAAAGAGATTTATTCCCCATCAGCCCGGCCGGTGTCTGAGGAGCGAAGGAGGTTGCCTGGAGGTTGTGATGCCTGGAGTGCAGCCGGGTCATCAATGTGGGAAGGGCTGAAGCCACCTCTCTCTCTGCGGATCCCCAGAGGTGGGCGCAGAGCTGTGGGTGGGGGAGCAGCATCCATGCCTCGCTGGAGAGGGGAGATCTGTGAGCTGAGATGGGAGCAACTGTGCGGGATGTGAGCAGGAGTCCTGGTCCAAACTATCCTCCATCCATGCTGTTTCCACTGCCTTGGAAGTTTTATGAGGAGTTTTTACAAGCAACCAAAAGAAGCAACTCGAGTCTTTCCACTGTGGCCAGAGGCGCGGGCTCAGGGTGCTGTGGGACCCCCTGGGGGCTCACCACTCTGCAGCCAGCCTGGCACTCCCACCTTGCTGGGCAGCCGGTGATGCGCAGAGTAGCACTCACTTTGGGTCTTTCACTTTTCCAAGCTGACTTAATGAAGCCAAGTTTGGAAATGAAACATAATTTCAAAGACAGGCGTGTTGTCGGAAGGTCTGGGGATGATGTATGCCTGTTTCTGCTCGTTAGCAGCTGTCTCTTTAATTACCGCAGATGCTAACGAGATGCTAACAGCATATGGTGACAGGGAGAGCAGCCGCACTTTGCACCAAAGTACAATTTATTTGTGAGGCGGCCGGGAGAGGGGACGAGGGCTGGTGGGGTAAAATCTACTGGGACTTCTCCCAGTCCTCTCTCCTCCCATCGTGCTCTTTTTTCTCCCTTAGGGCTAATGTCTGTATCTGGAAGGGCTCATTGGGGTACTGCTCAGGGGAGAGGTTTGGGCCATCCGTGATAAAGGGGTGACCATTTCCAGCCCCCCCTAAGCCAACTCATGGCACCAGGCTAGTTGGTGCCTCCAACCTTGGCAGGTCCTTTGCTGTTCCTGAGTTGCTACGGTTCCAACATCTTCGGAGGAAGTGTCTGGTCCAGTCTCCCTCTCCCTTCCTCCCACCTGTGAGATAGATGCTAATGTGATTCTGGCTGGTGACTAAAGCTGCCTCTGACTACAGGGGTTTGGCAGTGGGGACACATAGGTGGCAAATGGTTTAACCACAGGAAACCTCATTGCCTGGTCCTCTCCATCAGCTGGAGACTCAGGGTAGGGTTGTCAGAGAGCTGCTCTCTTGCTTTTCCTTCCCACTGGATCTGGCTGCCTGTCCCGAGCCATCATATGGAGAAACCTCCTTTGACCTTCTCTCATGTGAGACTGGGCTCCTGGCAGATGCCAGAACTGCATCGTGATACCTGGGCAAGAACCCCCAGGCTGTCCTGCTGCAGCGTGCCTTTTCCAGTCCTCAGGTGCTTCTCTTGGCTGGGCCAGCTCAAAAGATAGATAGGCTATATCCCATACACAAAGTCCCCAAACCCAACCTTCTCTTCACTAGCCCTGGATTTAACATTTTTAGCTCATTTTTGGCCTATAGAATGAGCAGAATTCACTGGAGGGTGTCTGGAAACTCTGGGAAGCTGAGCCTAGGGGTTGATATACCAGGGAACAACCTCCAGCGGGCATGGGAAGGAGAGAATGAGTTCCTCCATGGGATGAATTTTACCACGTGTCCTCTTCCTTGCAGTCTTGAACAAGGGCTGGAAACTTTATAAAGCCACGTGTGGGGCTCAGTGCTGCAGGAGGCTCCTGACACAATGGTGGTTCTTGAAAGGCAAAGCTGGTGCCTGGCACCTTCTCACCCTTCTCTCTCCCTCTCCTCCGTCCCTTGTCCCGCAGGAGTGTGCTGGAGAACCACTCTTCATGCTCTACTGTGCCATCAAGCAGCAGATGGAGAAGGGACCCATTGATGCCATCACAGGAGAGGCTCGCTACTCCCTCAGTGAAGACAAGCTTATCCGGCAGCAGATTGACTACAAAATGCTGGTTAGTGCAAGCAGAAGCCTCACTGGTACTCCTGCTTGCCAGGACTGCTACGTCCAGCTATTTAACAAGATCTTGGAGGCACACAAAGTACTTTGCAGAGAGTGGTTTGTCTGTTGTTCTGCTTTTTTTTTCCTGGGGTGTCTCTTGCCCCATCTGTGTGGTGCCCATCTCAGAGCTGGAAACGGGGCGTTTGCATGGCAAGGTTTGCTCTTGCCATGGAGCTCAGAAAGCCAAATATGAACTGAATCTCCCCATCCATGCCTCGCCCAGCAGCCCCATGGCCCTGACAGATATGGGGCCAGAGATGCTGTTGAGCACATGCTACCTGGAGCAGCCAGCGGCTCGTGTTGGATGGGGACCAAAGTTAGAGCCTTGAGATTACTGCAGGAGATAGAGATATACTTCTCTTCCTCCATATGAGCCATCTCCTCTGTCCAGCTGAATGGTAAGCCAGGCCCTTCCCCTGGCTGAGCCTGCAGCTGGTTCTTTACCACCTCGATCTCCACAGGGGTGGGGTTGGGAAGGGAGTGGAGTGTGCTTGGGCATCATTCAGGCTAGACAGGTTTTGGTGAGTTGGGCATGGTTTGCTGGTCCAAGATTCCTTAATTGACACTGTGCTGCCTTTCTGGGAGTAGTTGAAGATTTGAGCGTGGCGAGGAGAGGTGGGGAGAAAGGGGGAGTGGGAGTGTGCCATATGGCTGCAACTGCACGGCAGCCCTGAAGGTGAGAAGACATGGCCTGTAGACAGCTGTAGCCTCGTGTCCTTGGACCTGCCTTTGCAGCCAGTGCGTCACAACCTCTCACTCGAGTCTTTCTGTGCTGTGCAGACCCTCAACTGCGTAAACCCCGAGAACGAGAATGCCCCAGAGATCCCTGTCAAGGTGCTGAACTGTGACACCATCACACAGGTGAAAGAGAAGCTGCTGGATGCCGTCTACAAGGGGGTGCCTTATTCCCAGCGACCCAAAGCCGGAGACATGGACCTGGGTAAGAGGGAGGCCAAGCACTTCCCTGTGGGGAGCAGGGATGTGACTAAGAGCAGAAGTGCCAAAAAACCTGTTCAAGGCAGGAAAACCTGCATCTCCTCTGGCAGGACCGGAGTATTTGTGCTTGTCCGGTCCACTCTTGCTGTGCTGGTGGCGCTGACTGTGTGTGAGGACCCCTGGCATGAGAGTGTGGGTCCTGCCAGTAGAGAGGAAGAGGAGCCTCCTCAGCTCTGTCTGTGGTCTGGATTGCAGGCTTGAGGAGGCTGAGGTCCAGGGAGGTCAGCAATAGTTGAGAACAGTGTTAATAGTCCTGCTCTTAAAGGAGGGACAGGGGAATGAAGAGGAGAGGAGCAAAGGAAACAGTTGCCAGGATCAAATCGGTGCTGTCTTTCCCTGGATACTTAGAAATGGCTTTTGCCCAGCATCATACTGATAGTCATCAGTTCTGGGCTTCAGAAGGTGGTGGGAGGGCCCTTTTGTTGATGCCCAGACCATGCACCTACCCTTGCCTCGGCTTTGTGTTCCTATTGTCGCCTAACCACGAGCTCTTCTCTCTCATGGGGACAGAGTGGCGGCAGGGCAGGATGGCCCGGATCATACTGCAGGACGAAGATGTCACCACAAAGATCGACAACGACTGGAAGAGACTAAACACCCTGGCTCACTACCAGGTAAGGCTGTTTGTAGTGGAGAGCACTGAGCAGTCACCAGCTGCTTTGAACGTGAGCATCTCTTCTCCCTCCTCAGCTTGGTCAAGGCCTGGGCTCAGCTCCCCAGACCGTGCTGCTTATGCAAGGGCATGGCCGGGAGGTCTGTGGTCACTTTCCTGCCTGGACCCCATGTTTATGGTCTTTCTATTCAAGGAAGCACTAAATGGGGCATCTCCAGGACTCGTAGAGGCTGTTTCCTGCTCTGACCTTACTTTGCCATTTTCATGCCAAAGTTTCTGGTGTGTTCCTGTTCTCACCCCTTCCCACAAGCTGTTGCAAAGGTAGATAGGTAGGTCTCCTTTGCTGGAGATGGATGTCCCTGGGGTGGGGTGCGGTGTAGCTTCATTCCTCCTGGGCTGGTTTCTCCCTGCTTGTGGGGCTGTTCCTCCTGTGCCTCTCCGAATTCACAGCCTGCTCACGCCATCTCTGTCCCCAGGTGACGGATGGCTCCTCAGTAGCCCTGGTGCCCAAGCAGAACTCGGCATACAACATCTCCAACTCCTCCACCTTCACCAAGTCCCTCAGCAGATATGGTGAGTGTGCAAGGGCATCCTCCGCTGTGCTGGCAGGGGAGGCGGCACTGGGCTGGGCTTGCAGACCAAAGCACAGGGCAGGTGATTGTAACTGTGGCTCCTGTGAACAAAGTCCTCCAAACCCCCAGCTCTCCTGCACCATGCTATTTATTCTGGTGTTGGAGAGGTAGCAGGTGCCCTCAGAGCCATCTCTCTTTGCAATGTGTCAGGCTTGGGGGAGAAAGACATGTGTCAGGTGGCTGCTGCTAAGGGATCCCTTTTCTTTTATTCTTTTGAAATCTAATTAAAATAGGCACAGAGGCACTTTGCACTTAAATGAACAGAGTTGAGGACTCCAGCGAACATGCTGGCAAGTGTACTTTGGCCTTGGTTTGGAAGGGAATAGTGTGGTCAGCTCAGACTGCCACAGGAGGCATCTGTGATCCTGGCACCTGCGAGCTAGAAGCAGAGCAGGTCTCTGCAGAATCCCTTCCACGATGGTCCTGGCTTCTATACATCAGCCAGGCTTGAATGTAACCCGGCAGGCTGTGAGTACAGTCCCAGCAGAGCTCGCAGTCCATGGTGGATCCCAAAGGTTCCATTTCGTGGCCATGATGTGCCCTGAAGCCATAGTGGTGGGAAGGTGGAGGGAGGGGCTGGCGATGGGGTGGAGGTGGGCAGGGTGCAAGCATCCCCCTCTGCTCGGTGCTTGCAGAGAGCATGCTGCGGACCGCCAGCAGCCCCGACAGCCTGCGCTCGCGGACCCCCATGATCACCCCCGACCTGGAGAGCGGCACCAAGCTCTGGCACCTGGTGAAAAACCACGACCACATGGACCAGCGGGAGGGCGACCGGGGCAGCAAAATGGTCTCTGAAATCTACCTGACCCGCCTGTTAGCCACCAAGGTATGGCCCAGAGACGCGGAGCTGCTGCCTGGCTTTTTAAATCTGAGTGGGGAAAGGTAGCGATTTACGTTGTCCAAAAGTCGTAAGCACTGCTTTTTTATTAGCCTTCTGCTTCAGCACAGGCGGAGTTACTCTCTTGGTCTTTCCTGAGCTGGAGGTGATGTTTTTGTGTGTCAAAACCCTCAGTGAATGTTCCTTGAGTGGATTTTCCTATATGCTTTTTGCACCCTTTGGCGTTTTTACTATTCTCAGTATCTTTGGGCAGCTGCTGGACTGCAAAGCAGAGATGCCCTGGGGCAGGCACCTCATCCCCTTTGGTGTTTGGGATAGAGCTGCAAAATCGGTGATGTGGGAAGGGTAATTACCTGGGGCATTTGGCATCGCAGCAGGTTCCCCTTCCCATAGCACATACAAAACCTTCTGTAGTGCTGAGTGGGTGCTGTGCGTCTGAGATGTCCCTACAGAGGGGTGAAGGGCTGTGCTGAAGATACTGGCTCAGGATTGCAGAGACTAGGCTCAGCCATCTCCCCTGTGACTTGGCTCCCTGCCTTGTGGGACAAGGGCTTGTTCAGCGATGTCTGTCGTCAGGTCTTGGGTACCTTAATGGGACCCGAAAAAAGACCACGATATGACATACATTCACTTGGGTTTTGCTTTATATGGTGTTTTTATTTGTATGCGTTTAGAGTGCCAGATCATGCAGTGAAGGAGATACCTCATGACTGCAATGTCTGTTTCTCAGTATAAACCACTGAGCACCAGTAGGATTACGCAGACTGTACTGTGCTTCCCTTCCAGGTGGCAGGAACAGAAGTGAAATCGGTTTAAAGGTTGACCTTTAGTTAAAGGCTCATCTCTCTGCTGGTGCTGGGTGTTGCTGACCAGCCCTTCTCTCTTTCTCCTCTTCAGGGCACCCTGCAGAAATTCGTGGATGACTTGTTTGAGACCATCTTCAGCACAGCACATCGTGGGAGCGCACTGCCCCTCGCCATCAAATACATGTTTGATTTCCTGGATGAACAAGCTGATAAGCATCAGATCAATGATTACGATGTCAGGCACACCTGGAAGAGTAACTGGTAATGGAGAGGGGCAGTGGGACGGGGTGGGGGGCTAACAATATCACAACTAACTATAATTCCAGCCCCTCCCACAGGGAGCAGAAATATGTCCCTGGAAATGATCCAGGACAAGAGAGGCCCATATCTCTGTGTTTCTGGTGTGGGTAAATCCCTTGCATGCCTTCCTGCAGCAGAAAAAATCCCAGGAATGCAATGCTCCCTCAGCCCTTCCATCCCTGCATCCCAGGCACCACGCTCCCTCTGACGGCCGGACCACGGCAACTCTGTTCCCATCTCACCTTGGGCAAACGCCGCTTGGGCTTCTCCATCCTCTGGGCTTCTCCAGAGATGCCAGTCCCAATTCTTACCTTGACTGTCCTAAAGGTGCCTCCATGCTCCCTCCCGTCACTCAGCTGAGTGTGCCCTGACAAAGTCAGCCTAAAGCCGTGTATGAATCCTCCCTAACCTTACCTACAGAGCAAGCCCATCGGCTCTGCTTAATCGCTCTCTGAAATGCGGGGCAGAGTGGCTGATGAGACCTCCCTAAGTGCCGTCCTGGGGCCAGGGCTGGAGCGGGCGTTGGCTCCTGCTCCGCAGCACCCCCTCGGCGTTTTTCTTTTCTCCTGCCTCACTTGATTTCATCTCTCTGATCTTGCCGTTACTGGAGACGGGTACGTACATTCCCGTGTCTGGCATTTGTTAAATGGCAGCCAAATTGCTTTTGTGTAGTTCAGTAACTGTTGGCAATTAGCAGGGCAGGAAAAGAAACATTTTTAAATGGAGATGTGAGAGTGCGGAAGTGCTTGGAACTGATTTATAACTCGGCTTTCTATATTAAAAGAAGGAGCGAAAGGCAAAGGAGGAAAAAAAAAGCCCCGCTCCACAGGGGCTGGGCATGCAGGCTCCTGCATACTAATGCCTGTGCTTATCTCTGGGCGCTAATTCGATGTGTGAAGCTAATTTCTTGAGGCCATTCCCTTCACAAATGAAATATGTACATGCACCCGGTACCCTCATTAGGAAAGTCTTGGGGAACGAAGTGTGTTTTGTCTAAGATAAAAGCATTCGCTGGGTGTTGGTGCTGAGGGATGACAGAGTGGAGAGGCTTTCTGATGAGGGGATGCCCTGAGATGCTCCTGGGAGAGGAGAGGGGCAGCAGGACTGGGAAATGGAGCCATGGAGGGTGGCACGTGTCAGTATGCAGCAAACATCCAGCCAGTGGCTGTCTAGGAGACCTGCTGCCTCTACAGCTGAGCACATTATTTCTAGCATCTGAGGCTGCCTAAATTCTCCTCTGGTGTTAAAAGTGCTAATGAGTCCCCTGACGAGGCCAGTTAACTCCCTCCTCCAACATGGGAGATGTGTGAAATGCCACACGGCACCTTCAAAAGGATTATTGATGTGAGAGAAGGGGACAGTGCCTGATTTGACCCATGGGCTCAGCAAAGGCTCTTCAGTAGGAGTGGATCCTTGGAGAAACCACAGATCTGCGCTGCCCTGGTTTGCCTTTGGAGATGTTGGCAGTGCTGAGGAATTTCTCCACGGAGAGCTGTGGCCATGTTGGGGTGGGCAGAGGGGAACGGCCATTTACCCCAGGTTGTTTGCTTTCCTAGGGTGCTGGGAAAGGCAACCTGCCCTATTCTGGGTCATGGGGAGCTCCTTCTCCGCAACTGGAGGTGCATGTGTGTGCCCGCTGCCCTGTAGGGCTTGGTTCAGGTGCTGACTCCTGTTTCCTTCATCCCGCAGTCTACCTCTACGTTTTTGGGTGAATGTGATTAAGAACCCCCAGTTTGTGTTTGACATTCACAAGAACAGTATTACTGATGCCTGCCTATCCGTGGTGGCTCAGACATTCATGGACTCCTGCTCAACTTCTGAGCACAAGCTAGGAAAAGACTCTCCTTCCAACAAACTCCTGTACGCCAAGGACATCCCCAACTACAAGAGCTGGGTAGAAAGGTGAGTAGACTTGGCAATAGCTCCTTGCTTCACCTGGAGGAGTTACGGTGGATATACATGGGTGTGGGGACTTGGGTCATTGGGAGGACTCCTCTTGGCAGCTGTCTGAAGAGAGACCATACTAACACTTGCGGAAGGAGATCCTCTTGTTTGGGAGATGACAATTCTTGTGATTGTCTCCTGGAATGAGTTTGCAATGACTGTTTGACAGAGCCATTTGTGACTTTCTTAAGGAGCGCTTAAAGCAAGCTCCACATTTAGGTTGTCTGATGTTTTCTGTTGTAAAAACTTGGTCTGTGCTAGGGAATTGCTAACACCTTCCTTGATTGCTTTCGAAGAGCAGTGAGAAGTCAGCCTTAGACTAGAGAAGTGCCTTTTTTGTACCATGACAATACATGCAGGTTTTGCTGAAATGGTTGAAAAATTACCGTTTCCCATCTCTCATCTATCAGTACATCTCACCTGGGATCCTGATGAAAGCACATGCTCTGAGGCAGTGCTCAGGCTGCTGTCGCTGTGCTGAGGAGAAGGGAGAGGAGCAGGTCCCCTGACTCCTTCCGACTCCCTCCACCTTCACTGTTAGCTGATCTGCTGAATTAATGCTGTGTTAGAAGTTCAGGGTTTGAATGCTACTGATTGCAAATTGATGCGCTCAGGCATAATGCTGTGTTTAGCTTTATCCTTTTGGGAGGGAGACCTAGGAGATGTCCTCCAAAGCCCTCCAAATAGAGCTACTGTTAAAATGTTGCTGTCTTGTGAAGTGGGACTTCATCAAGCTTAAAAAATGGCAGATTTCAGGTTGCTGATGCAACTTTCCCCTTGTGCTGATATGCTGTGCTATAGATCATGCTCGTTTGTTTGTTTGTTTGTTTGACTGAGGACCCTTCTGTTTCTCAGCATCTAGACCAGATACAGAATGAACCAAGGGAAGGATATCCAGGCAGCAATAAGTGTCATGTTCTCTAGTTTGCAAGCATGGGACTTGGTAGCCTAAATCATCCTTTGGATACTCACTCGTACACAGTTATTTTTGTCGCACCATTGGCGTGCCTCGTGCTTTGCAGACAGGTACAAAGACAAGCTTCTTCCCTTGAGGAAGACAGTGCTTGGATCAGAAGAAAATATGCCCCTGATATATGATGACTGATATGAGAGATGAGCTGCATTGTAATAGGAGAAAGTTCTTTGTGGACGCCTGGAGTAGTCCCGTAGGAACATCACAAACTTCATAAGAAGAATTTCTGTGCCCTTGCCGTCTCTATGACAAAAATATTCAGCTCTTCATGTGCCTAGAGGAAAAAAGGTATAAAACCATTCCAGAGTTAAATATTGTTCTAGACCTGCTGTGTCCCTGAGGAGGAGGTGGGACATCTCACCGGTGACAGAAGTTCCTGCCATCGCTTACCACTGGTATGGTCCCAGAGGCAGCTGAGCAGGGCACAGAGCTGCCCTGTGCAGGGTGCGACTGCGTCTCCTACTGCTCCTCTGCTGCCGGGATTACGGCAGAATCGGCATTTCTGGCTTTTGGTATGGTTATTGTTGCAACTATTTACAGAGGTAGGATGGGAACGATGCAAGGGCAGCTGAGTGGGACTGCCAGTCCCAACAGGAGGTCTGTCTGCCACCGTGGTTCAGGCATCAGCTGAAAACGCAGCATCCTTCCAGTCTGAGGCAGGAAGAGCACGTTAAAGGGCTTGGGAGGTGAGGAGCCTGGGGAATCCCAGGGTGACTGCTGCTGGGGTCGTGGTAGGTGTGCTCTGGAAGTGGCAGGTGTGACTGGGATCTTGGTCCACACGAGCCATGCACACTTGTATTGAAAAATGATGGTTTCCTGCCATCCTTTGTGTCATGATAAAACCTGGAATGTAAAACTGCTGTATGTTACCTGGACATCTTATTGTGGCAGCTGCTTTCTTCTTCAGCAGGTCTCCTGTGTGTGTTCATCTTCCACGAGTCCCTCCCCACAGGAGCCTTCACGTACGAGGTTAAAGGGTGGCCAGGAGGATCTCTGTGGGTTTTCTGTGCTAATCAAAGCTGGCTGGAACTGAGAAGGTTGGGCATATTGTCCCTAATACTCCTCAGCACAGGTAGAAGTAATGTCAGCTTTAGGAGACATCATTCTCGGGTTGATCTCTCTAGCGGTGTAGCAGATCTCTTGATGCCTAGTTTAGTCAGAGGTCCTCACCTCAGACCACTGCTGTCTTGGCAGCATCCAGGAAATCTCTTGCATCACTTTCTGGGTGTGAATGAGCCTCCTTGTAAAAACTGCCCAAGTATTTTATCACTAGCTGAGTTCAGCGCTGTGGGATGGAGTGGATCCTCATATTCATCTCCTCAAGTGGTCTTGCTGCCATCTGTTCCTATCCAAGTGCTTCAGCCATTTTCCATCTCAGCGTTCGGCTGATGACACTAATGATGCTAATCACTGTACCAGAAACTTCACTGAGTGAGGAATCATGAGGAGGAAAGCAAACCTGGGAGAGACTGGCACTCTGTTCTTCCAGGTGGTGGGAGCGACCAAGGCTCGTTTGCTGTGGGTCGTGTTTCTTTTCTAATAGAGGACTGTGGACACAACCCTCATTTCCAAAAGGACCTCAGTGGTGGTCCACTGGTGCATCTGCTTGGTGTAGCCCTCCTGCTGCAATGGGATGGTGCAGTTTTGATCTCCCTGGGTTTTGACGAATATCCTCATGGATATTCTGTTTTTCCACTACAATTCTGGACCATATAAGTGGTGTCTGGATTTCTCTGTATTTGCTGAGCATATCAATGAGGCAACTATGGGATAGGACTGCGCATCTTAAGGTATCCTACTAAATGTAAGATAGTATCCTGCTGGTAGCAACCGTGAGAGAAGCAGAAGGAAGGCAGGAAAGCACCAGGTCATTTGACCCAGGCATGCCCTGAGGCATCAGCTACTTCCTCTGCTGCCCAGGATCCTTTGAGTTCACAGACGTGCCTGCAGAACCTTGGTTTTCACTGAAAACCAAAGCTCCTTGTAGCTTTTTGGTGAGCGGTAACTTCTGAGCATGGCCAGCGGCAGTCGTAGGCTGTGTTGAATGCCTGTTGCTGAGGAAGACGTAACCACACAGGCATGTATCCCTGCAAGGGCTGGATGTGAACTTGTCTTGTGTTCACGCACCAAGTATTTAATTGAATGCAGAGGAGCATCATTGGCTTTAGCGACACGGTGACCGTAGGAGAATGGTAGCAAAGCCTTATGTGTTGACGCAGGCTTGGAGGATTCTGGTGCGTGCGGTTTGGTGGCAAAACATGCCAATGGAATGGGAAGGAGGAAAAATGTGTGGTTTAGGAGAGGGTGGGAAATCCCTCAGAGCAGCAGTTCCTGGCTTCCCAGCATGATGGGCTGGGCTGGGCTGGGTGCTGCTCCATCGGGAGCGTGTTCCTGATGATGCTAACGGCTCCGTGGAGTGCTCAGAGACCTCTTGATGAACGGCGGTGTTATAATGAGTGATCATGGTATGTCACCGCTCAGAGGCAAGATGCTCTTCACCTTGCCTTTCCAGTGGCTGTTCTCAGTGAGCGTCGCAGCAGGGACCCAATCCCTTCTGTCTGTCCCTATTTCTGACACCCTCTTCTGTTTCTTTCTTGCAGATATTATGCAGATATAGCTAAAATGCCAGCGATCAGTGACCAGGACATGAGTGCGTACCTGGCGGAGCAGTCGCGGTTACACCTCAGCCAGTTCAACAGTATGAGCGCGCTGCATGAGATTTACTCCTACATCACCAAGTACAAGGACGAGGTAAGACGTGGTGATGGGGAGTCAGGCCTGGGCTGCAAACCGTGTCCCTTTGCTTACATTTCTGCAATCACCTGCTTTTTCCTGTGGAAAAACACCCTGTGAAGTGCGGGAGGGCAATGTAGTCCGTGTCTGTGCTTGGGCTGTCGAGGAAGGAGAGGTTTGGGCGGCGTGGAGCCAGGCACTGGTGTAGGCAGCACTTCGTTCCCCATATTTTCTGCAGTGAGTAATGTGGGAAATGCCTATTTTTCTACATATTCGGCACATGAGCTCCGTGGGGCTGCAGAGTTCACAGCGTTATCTCAGTGTCCCTCCCCTATCCGCTACCACCGCCCCAGCGGTACCAGTGCCGTGTGGATATACAGGTGGTGTCTGGCTCCGCTCCCCAGGGATGCTAGAGGATGTGATGGTATCTTCAGTGCTTGCTTTGTGAACATCAGTAAGAATGGTTAAAAACCTCTCTGTTGTAATTTATACAAATTAACTTTGTAAAGCACCTCTCACATCCACACCCTGCATCTTTTTATTAGCGCAATAAAATATGTAACTACAGTAAAATATGGATCTATACATATAACATGATAGTATAGGTTTTATTGTCCCAATAAAGGGGATTGACGATTGTGTTTGAACGGTGGGTTATTTAGGTGACAGAGTGCCTTGCTTGGAGAGAGCCAGGAGAGCCAGCCTCTCGCCCCACAGGGAGAGGAAACGGGGTCCCCGTCGTACCCTGCAGAAATCCTGAGAGGCATCTCCCAGTGCCTCTTTGAGGTGTGAATTTAGGGAGTCCACGGGCAGGTCGTAGCAGACCTGGCCCCTGGGTCTAAGGTGAGTGCTGGGACCATGGCGGCCAAAATCCTTGTAGAGCTGGGTGCTTTGCAGGAGTGAGGAGGAGGAGGAGGAGTCCTGGCTTGCCCACAGGGATGGGAGGAAACCCTGGTGCTTGGGAAGGTGCTGCATGGTGGTCACCATGCAGCGGGTGGCTGTGTACTGATGACCATACTGGTGGGACATCTGTACAACTCCCCAAACGACTTGGGATGGCACATCTAGGAGGTCCCCCTAGCTCTGTGTGATGAGTTGGCCATGAAGGGTTTTTGGGGTTTTACAGTTTGTACAACAGCTCTGTGGCCACCACGAGAGTGGAAGAGGAGCAGTCTGGAGGATCTAGATCTGCTGTGGGACCGCCATCATCCCTCAGCCATCATCAAGCTGGCTTCCTCCAGGCTAAGAGTCCCCCAAGCCTTAAATAAATCCTTCAGGCTCTGGGCAAGAGCAGGGAGGGGACCATGTGGCATTAATGAGCTGCTCTTTAGGGGCACGGGTGGTCTTCTTGCCCACTAACAGCAGCCTGACATCTGTTGAGTGTCTTGGTGTCGCCCGCTCTCCAAGCATCGCAGCTCTCAGGAACTTCTTTTATTATTTGTAATGGGATTAATAAATCGCAGCTGTTCCCTTTGTTTGTTTTCATTCATTAAGCACAATTATATGCAGCCCGATTGCACCCTCTTTGATGCAAAATGGGAGAGAATAATTTTTCCTGTTGTTCAGTGCAATAATGTGCTGTCATTGGTTGTGAATGAAAATCATAATTAATTTTCATTTGGGTACTTGCATCGTGGTAATCAGTGGTCCTGGCTCTTTACAGCAGGTGACAAACCTGAGTCTCTCACTACGCTCGGCACAGGTTTCCTTTGACTGCATGTTTCTGTAAGGCTGGGATAAAAGAGGAGCAAATAAATGCAGGGGCAGGTTGTGAATCTTTCAACACCTCAGCATCCCAGGATACACAGCTGTCTTAGCGGGAGAGGCGGAGGAGGTGGGCGGGAGGAATAGGTTCCTCTTCCACTTCCCGGACCAATCTCATTTGGTTCCAGCTCAGCCACCTTTCAGGCACGTGGGATTTTGATTTTTCCATAAGTGTTATAGTTACTTTATTCTATGTGTAGCGTGACGGCCGACAGCGGCTGCTGAGATGGATGGCAGGGGAGTGTCACCAGTAGCAGGTTTGTGGCAGATTCTACGAGCTCTCGTGAGTCCAGCTGCAGCCCAGGGTCATTGCTGCCAGGGGAGGTAAATCAGATGTTCCTGGCTCTCGCTGGCAAATTTTCCCCGCCTCAGGAGCTGACACCAGTGTTGAGATGCAGCTTTCAGAGATTCTCCATCAGGCATCTCTTACTGCCCCAGCAGACAGGGACCAGCCTGGTCCTGTCCCAGAAAGCCTGACGAAGAGCCAGAGCCTGTTGGTGGCCGGAGGCTGCTGCCGGGCGGGGTGGTGGATGCTGCCCAGCACGCCACTCCGCAGCCCGCCGGCACTGCAGCAGCTCTTAATCAAAGGGAGCTGATTCCCCATTAAGAAGTTACCTGTAGGGCTCCTGATGGACTTTGCCTGCCTCCTAGTAAGTCTATTAATTATACAACAGTTTGTTTCCAATTATGCGGCCAATGAAATGGTTAATCAAGTCCCCTTTGACGGATGCCTTGATATTTAATTGCAAAAAATTTGCTCTCTCAACTGGCTCACCCGAGGAGATGAGATTTCTGTCAGGTTTGGTTTTTTAAATCAGCTTTTCTGCTCTGCTGGCATGATGTTAGTGAGACGAGACTCCTGGCTGCTGGGAGGGCAACTGCCCCTTCGTTTTACACTTCATTACTCCCTGCTCCCCACTCTGGGCCTCATCCTTTACCGTCCCACTGCCGCCAGTCTTTTCCTGGCCCTGGAGGCATGGCTGCATCCAGCCCAGGGAAGGGGACCACCCCTCCACCTTGCAATCTGTCGTCACAGCCAGGAGCTTGTTTAGAGAAGGGAATTTCAATGGAGAAGAGTCATCCTTGGATGTCTGCGGGTGCACCTCTTGGACAGGACTGAGGGCTCCCAGCGAGGCAGGCTTTGCTGGTGCATCCATCTGGTGTCCTGCTCCATCACCCCAGTGCCCCCCAGTTGTCAACCTTGGGGAGAGGTGAGCGGGGTTTTACCACTGGCGGTAGCTGAAGCCTTGTGGATTTGGTCTTTTTGTGCTCGTGGAACCAGTTCATGGCTTGACCGTGGTCTCTGAAATGCAGCCCCTGCCTCCCTAGGATGTTACAGGTTTGCTGGAGTCACGGACAAGGTGGGAAGGTGTCGTCATCTTGGTTTTGGGGTTCACACTCCACTTGACAATGGATGTTTGTTTTCTTCATTTCCTCATGTGCAAATTGCCTTCTCGTTAGTATCAAGCAGGTCCCTGGTCTTAGAGCATCCCCTTGGGGGTCCCAGGAGGCTCTGTCTGTGGGGTGGCAGCACTCCGAGCGGTGTCCTCCACCTCGCATCTCCTTTGGCCCTTTCCTGGCCTTGTTAGGGACAGGAATGAACACGTGCCACTTCCCGTGGGACCATGTCTCCATGCCCTGATGCCGTCAATGAGCCACCATGGCCACGGGCAGCAAGGAGCTGCTTTGGGTAGGAGAGCATCTCCTCACCCTCTTGTCTCCCCTCTCTCCCCCAGATTTTAGCTGCATTGGAGAAGGACGAGCAGGCCCGGAGGCAGCGGCTGAGGAGTAAGCTGGAGCAGGCGATCGACACAATGGCCTTAAGCAGCTGAGAAGGCGGTGGCACGGTGCCAGCATCCCGGGCAGCAGAGGTGGCAGGAGGGACGGCCAGCCGGCGGCAGCCGGGGGTAGAAGACGACTTTGGGGCTGGGGCCGACTGGACCCGCAGGAGCCACCGTACCTCCACACGCTTCCCATGAACGAACAAGGAAACCTCGTGCTTTAGTGGAAAAAAAAATAAAAAACAGAAACAAATCCTGACGACAGCAGCAACATCGATAGAATCCCCTGACCCACACACAAATCCCCCAATGCAACTGGGATGCAGCAGGGACCTTGCAGAGAGGCGATGCCGGACGGAGGAGAAGGGGGTCGCCTGCCCCATGGACCCGCTGGGCATCCC